ATTCTCGCATTGAATAAAAAAAAAGTGAGTGAGGGACTGCAATATAAGAGGCAAAGAAAGAGAAACTTTAAAACTGTTCAATTGTTATTATGTGTAAAGACTGATATTGTTCTATAATTGTCTGAAACTGTTAAGTCATGATGCGAAACGGTTAACAAAGAAAAAAGGAAACTCAAGCTGCTGCTACACTTTATTTTATTTATCTAAAATCAAGCACTTTTAAGATGCACATATTTTCAAAAGCTTTTTTTTTTTTCTCTATTTTTTTTTTTTAAATGCAGCCCAAGATGAACATTACACATATCCACAGTATTTACTGTATATCTGTATAGTTCAATGTTAATTGACAATACATATTGTTATTTTTTAATTGTACTTTCTTTATTTGATTGGCAGTCAGTTGTTGATTACATGCAGACGTTGATAAAGCTACAGGCTACTTCAATATATATCACACTAATTAATAAAGCAAGTTAGACATGTTGATGTTCCGGACCTTTGCATGGGGAGATTTTCTCTAAGTGGACCTCGATGAATTGTAGTTGAATACCCCTGCTGTATACAGTAAGATGAGTGGTAAATGAAAGTGTGCTGTTGGCTCTTTTCCTTTGCTTGAATAATTGGAACTAGAATCTTGGTAAATCGCAATGAATTAGTCATTGGTATAGAGTACAGACTAAATCAGTGTTTATAATTAATATATGTGCCATTACTTTAAGAAAAACTATGTAAAGATGGAATGTTGCTGGCAAAATTGTTTCGAAAATAGGCATTCATTCATTTGCATAAATGAAGAAAATGTTTTTTGTACACACTACATTTTGAACAGCTTTTTCCTAATGCAAATGCTTATACAGGGGCTTTCATTATTCAGTTATTATTAAGTCCATGGACCTATTTGTGTTCAATAAAAACAGGGTACACACAGGCATCCATTTACCAGCTTGGGAGATTTATTGAAGGCAAATGCACAATATAACATAAAAGCAGAAATAACGAGATCAGATGTATTCTTTGAGATGGTGAATATGGGTGGTGGTAATACATGACAAAGAATAAAATAAGTTACCTAAGACTGATGATGTTAATAACCAATATTTTCTTTCCCAGGTGAAAACATTAACTTTGGGTTATTTGTCCTTAACCCTGAATGCATAATCTATGACCCATATCAGGGATCGGTGCAAAAACACATGCAGGATGATGGAAATGACAGCAATGAGATGGTAATCTATTAAAATATATATAAAAAAAGGCCCCATTGCCATGTATTTGTGTGCAAATTATCACATGCACAAAGGCACAGAAATACCTAACCACTTTCATGAATAAACTCTTTTTTTGTGTAGTTCAGCAGTTCATGCAAATATTGTAGTATCAGTAAAACCGTCACGGGACCAATCTGCAGGCTTTATGCAGTGATATTTAGCCTTCAAGAATGCACTTGGCTGCGGATAAAGCACGTGATCATTTGAGTGTGATAGAAATGACAGAGGTTTTTGCAACGGATTTGCAGAGGTGAGTCGGAGGTCACACTGCATGTGGGTCGGCTCTGCTCACCAGTGAGTCTAACCTTTGCTTTGCTCCATTAGCAGCAGTGACTGTCTCTTGGGGTGAAAGAACATAAACAACTGGACTGATATCCTTTCTTTTTGCTATTTGATAGGCGGCACATTTAGGTGCAATTACAAAGTGTGAAACACTTTAACAAAGCTTGAGACTGTGGCAGCGGGGTGGGGTTAGGGCGCCGGCTGCTGGAGTGAAGGGAGTGGCTCGGCCGGAGGCCAGACAGCTGATCGGAATCAGGTAATCAGTGCCGGAATAAAAGCATGTCGTAACCTGGTTCTGGTCTGTTTTGCAGTAGGCGGGATCCTGGAAGAGGGCAAAAGGACCTGTGAAGGTTGCCACGCGGGCAACGTTGGAGTAGTGGATACTTTTGTTTGGAGCTAATAAACGCCATATTTGTTACACGAACCTGCTCTTCCGTCCATATTTTATAAAACAAATTTACATTTTATAAAACAAAATTACATTAGCAAAACACTTTTACCAAAGAAAAAACAATTTAACATTAACAAAAACAAATTAACAAGATGTAAAACACTTTTACAAAGCTAGAGACAAATTTACATTTGCCGAAACACTTTAACAAACTAGATAATCAAACCGGAAAGGGAATGCCCATCATACCAGAAGTGAGGTGCAAGTAGGCATGTTTGAGATGAGCTGCGGCTCGCCTCGAAAGTAGACGAGAATAGCCGATCGCAGCCGGGGGAGGTCTCAAAAAGCTTGCCTGAAGTCGGACAGCTCGGAGTCGGCTTCATCTTCTTCTTCTTCTTCTCTCGGTTTTTTGGCGGATTGCAAACAGCTTGAAGGTGCATACTGCTGCCTCCGGAGTCGGCTTGACTCGGTTTGCATTTATAAAGAATGCACACATGTGTTTAATCGTTAATGTCAGATATGTACTAAGTAAATACATTTGTTCCTGCTCAAGATTAGATTCAACTTTATTGTTATTGCACATATTACAGGTACTGAGACAACGAAATGCAGTTTAGCTTCTAACCAGGTGCAACAAGCAGTAAAGTGAAAAGTAATGTACACAATCTACAGAATAAAATATAGAATGAATTGAATGATGAATAACAGTGAGGGGTATGAATACACTAGATATACACAGCAGCCTGAGAGCAGTATGAACAGTGTGTGCTGTATGCTGTATGCTAAGATATATAAAGTATGAAAACGGTAAGCAGTGCAAGTATAGTATACAATATATAGATATTAATTTAATGATGATAAATATTGTGGAACAATGATGAAAAATGTGAACGGAAGGGGCGACGTAAAACTGACACAAAACAACAACAAACTTTTGCCCAGCCAATTGGAGAGTTTCATCACCAGCACGTGGAAAAAACCACCAATGAGCGCTCAGCTCGAGATACCAGCGAGTCGTTTCCCATCAAGCATTTCGCTTCCGCAGCCCGTGGAGAGGAACTGCGCCGCCTCGCCGCACCTCGCTCTCAAGGCTGCGGGCGTCTTTGTCCCGTGAGATTTCAACGTCTCATGTAGGCGAACCTCCAGAGCAAGTCGGACAAAATGACTAACCAGCAAGACGTTGATCGAAATTGCGCAGGTCTGCGCAGGTCTCGCTTGTCTCAAACAAGCCTAGTGATTGACACAAACTGGTACCTATGGACCTTTATCAATGTTTATTTATATAGCCTTTATGGTCGTTAAACATGTTTTGTCCGTTCTGTGGAAACCACCTGGGCCAAGTGACATGGTTTTGCTCATCACGATATACTTTCTCGTGCGCAAGAGATACGTTATTTTGCACACAAGAAAGTTATAGGTTTGCTAAGTAGGAAGTGGAGCTGTGCCTTTTACACACAGCCTTCGCTGTGTTTACCTTCATTAGACAGCTAAAGAGCGACTGCAGGCTGCTTCGTTATAGCCACACACACCTCTCCACACACACACACACACACACCTCTACACACATTGAACTGCCCGATTATTCCCCCTATTACTCGTTTTATGAAGGAGATGTCCGGTCCACAAGGCGTATGACGTGTGTGTTCGTTGTGTTTGTGTATGTCCGACACCGGCATTTGTTTTCAAATGAACATGAACAGTAATTTACACACATCTGGCCAACTCCATAGGTATATGTGTGTGTTCCCAAATGAAATAAATGTGTTTAATCTTAATCTCGATGTAGTGCTCAGTGCTGTCGGAGTTCAGTGGAACACTGCAGTCAACTCAGCCACCTCTCGCAATTACTTGGTCAAATCAGCAGCTCTTCATTTGTGAGTGTGCGATTAATCGCGCCTTTACGGTAATCGACCGAGAAGCGGCACTGACGCTAGGCTAGTACAAGAGTAAAATAATGCATGTTTCTGTGCTATATTTGCGTTCAAAATATGTTTTACCATAAGTTCTTAATAAAACTGACACTGTTGGACTTAGTACTAGTTTGACTGCTACCAACAATACAATGAAGTACTTTTACCGTGTACTTTTTCAGTTATTCTCTGTCAAACTCCCCTCCTGAGACAAATTCAAGCCACTTCTGCTATATTTGTTGAGGGATACAATTATTATTTTTTAGCCATAAGTTCTTAATACAATTGGTACTGTTGGACTCAGACTACAACCACAAATACAATGAAGTACTTTTACTGTGTACTTTTGAGTAATACTTTGTCAAACTCCCCTCCCGAGTAGGGGAGACCAGGGACAGTTGTAACACGGGTTGGTTGTAACACCTTCAATATCTCCAATCACAAACAAGCTAGAGTGATGAAACTCACTCTGCACATGCGCAGTTAGATGGTAAGATCGTTGAGAAAAAAAGGAGCCACGTTTGAATTTCTCGCGTAAGTTATCAGCAAAAGTGTGTTTCTGAGGTAAAATATTAACTAAAATGATATGATGTATTTGTTGGATACTGTCTTGAGTTCAAATGTCTAGGAATCCAAACTAGTATTATTAGAATCACTGTTTTGTAAGCTACAAATATAACTAGCTAAATATGGGTCAAGCTAGCAACCAGGCATGTTCACAGGGGGTGGAAGCAAGACTGGTGGTCCTGAGACGGTTGTAACGGGACGGTTGTAACATGGCACATTTACAATGATGGCTCATTTGCTTGAATGATCAATTGTTCATTCAAGCATACAGTTGTATTGTTGATTGGTGTGCATTGTCCCTGTACAAATAAACTGAATATAATACTGTACAGTAGGCCTAAAGTGTGTGTGTGTGTGTTTACAGTATGCCAAATGTCAGAAAGAGGAAGACAGACAGGGGAGTGCTACTTGCTCTGCTGCAGGGGGCCTCAAATGAAGTGCAGAAGTGCAAATCATTCAGGGAAGTGGCAAAGTCCCTGGATATATGCCATGTCACCCTGTACCGGTTCCATAAAAAGAGGCTGAGGTTGGAGAGTCAGGGATCACAAACACCCCCAAGATTAGGCTACTGGACACCAAATAAGGTGTTCTCAACAGAGCAGGAGATGATTTTGAGAGACTACCTGATGGAGGCAGCTGATTTGTATTATGGTCTCAGCTCAAAGGAGGTAGGTCTACATCATTAAGGTAGAATAATAGGCTATCTATACTGAACAAAAGAAAAGTAAGTTGATCAAATATGTTGAGGCCTAGTGAACAGACAAGTGAAATATTTTCCAATGTATATTCATTTTAGGTGCGGAAGTTTGCCTATGAATTGGCAAAGAACTACGAATGCAACTTCCCTCAAACCTGGGCAGGGAAAGAGATGGCCGGAGCTGACTGGCTCACAACGTTTTTGAAGCGGCACCCTACCCTCTCCATACGCAGACCTCAGGCTACCAGTCTCTCACTGGCTACAAGCTTCAACCGAACAAATGTTAACAAGTTTTTTGACAACCTGTCTGCTGTCCTGACGAAGCATGGTTTTGTCACACAGGACATTTGGAATATGGACGAAACCGGAGTCACAACTGTCCAAAACCCTGGGAAGATTGTGGCCAGAAAAGGGACCAAACAAGTCGGCAGTGTGACATCTGCAGAGCGGGGCACTCATCACACTTGCATGTGCTGTAAATGCATTGGGAAATTCCATCCCTCCAATGATGATATTCCCCCGGAAGAAGTTTCAGCCCTTCTTCACCAGCAATGGCCCTCCTGGCTGTATTGGCACAGCAAATGGGTCTGGGTGGATGCAAGAGGAAGACTTTTTGGTCTTCCTCAAGCACTTCCAGAGCCATACCAAGAGCTCACAGGAGTCAAAAGTGCTGCTGGTTCTGGACAATCATTCCTCCCACCTTTCTGTGGAGGGGATTGATTTTTGCAGGAGCCATGGGATCATCCTCCTCTCTTTTCCTCCCCACTGTTCTCACAAACTACAGCCCTTAGATCGCACTGTATACGGGCCACTGAAGAAGCACATCAACAGCCGCTGTGACAACTGGATGAAGACTCATCAGGATCCACAATGACCATTTACGAATCTGCCGGGCATTGTGAAGAGTGCCCTTCCTCATGCTGCAACGCCATCAAATATCCAGGCAGGGTTCGCGTGCACTGGAATTTGGCCATTTAATAGAGATATTTTCAGTGACATCGACTTTATGCCATCCCAAGTCACAGACCGCCCACCACCAGAGCCTTCTACCAGTGCAGCTCCAACACCAACTGTGGCATCCTCTCCTCCACTCGCAGCCTCCTCTCCTCCACTCGCAGCCTCCTCTCCTCCACTCGCAGCCTCCTCTCCTCCACTCGCAGCCTCCTCTCCTCCACTTGCAGCCTCCTCTCCTCCACTCACAGCCTCCTTTCCTCCACTCACAGCCTCCTTTCCTCTACTCGCAGCCTCCTCCCCTGTCAGGCCATGTGTGGAGCCTGGGACATCATCCTCTGCAACGCCTTTCTCACCCATGTCCATCCGTCCACATCCAAAAGCTGGACCAAGGAAGCAGACCACAAAGGGGAGAAAAAGAAGAGAAACCGCTGTCCTCACAGACACTCCTATGAAAAATCTACTCGAGGCTGAGAAAAAAAGATCTAATGCAAAGAAGTCTAAAGCAAAGAAGAAAATCAATTTCTGCAACAAAAAAAACCCCAACAAGAAGCAGAAGATGCAGGACTCATCTGATGAAGATGAGGCCCAATACTGCATTGTGTGCCTGGAGAGCTACTCCAGGTCCAAGGAGATCCGGCTGCAGTGTTGCTCCTGTAAAGCCTGGGCACACAAGGACTGCACAGATGGAAGTGCCTTTTACACCTGCCACAACTGTGAATCTGATTAATTCTGGTGTTCTGTTTTAAGTTCTGTTCATTGTTCATTGTTTGATGGAGGATGTGTGAAACCCCATTAAAATCTTGTTATCTAATTTGACAGCTTTCCCCTATTTTTTGTCATGTAGTGTGAAAAAAGGTAACCGTTATTAACATGTTACAACCGTGCCTGGCATGTGCTACAACTGTCCCTGTACACAAGGACAGTTGTAACAGTTGAGTTTTTAAAAAAAATACATTTTCCAACCTGTACTTATTTCATAAAAACATCTTAAATACATTGTTTCAGTAGCTGACATATTGATAATGTATAATATAGCAAAATGGCTATCCTATTGTAAATGTTTTTTTACTTATTAGGGAAAAACCAAAAAGTGTTGCAACTGTCCCTGGTCTCCTACAATCATTCATGTATTCTGCTATATTTGTTGAGGGATAAAAACATGTGTTACTGTACCATAAGTTCTATATTAAATTGATACTGTTGGACTCAGTACTACTCTGACTAGTACCACAAGTACAATCAAGTATGTTTACTTGTAATACATGGTTAAACTCCTGTCCTGAGTACAATAATTCATAGTTCATATACAATACAGGAATGATTGTACTCAGGACATTGCGCACTCAAAAATGAAGAGCTGCTGATTTGACCAAGCAAACGCGAGAGACGGCTGAGTTGACCGCAGTACCGGAACGGACGACAGTATCTTAATATCTTCTGAAAACAAATGCCAGTGTCACACACACACACACACGCACACACACACACACACACACACACACACACACACACACATACACACACACACACACACACACACACACACACACACACACACCCTGGTGACCAGACATCTCCTTCATAAATAGAATAATAAAGTGTAATAATCGGGCAGTTCGGTGTGTGTGTGTGTGTGTGTGGTGTGTGTGTGTTGTGTGGTGTGTGTGTGTAGAGGTGTGTTTGGCTATAACGAAGCAGCCTGCAGTCGCTCTTTAGCTGTCTCATGAAGGTAAACACAGCGAAGGCTGTGTGTAAAAGGCACAGCTCCACTTCCTACTTGGCGAACCTGTAACTTTCTTGTGTGCACAAGAACGTATCTCTTGCGCACGAGAAAGTATATCGTGATGAGCAAAACCAGGACTGGCTTACCTAAAGCCAGTTGAGTAGCACTTGAAATGTTTGGCTCTATGAAACCTGATGTACTTATATGATTCTGTTTTCTTCAAGGTTGTGTCTTCCTGGTCGAATGTACTTATTGTAAGTCACTTTGGATAAAAGCGTCAGCTAAATGCAATGTAATGTAATGTCACTTGGCCCAGGTGGTTTCCACAGAACGGACAAAACATGTTTAACGACCATAAAGGTCCATAGGTACCGGCGGTCTATCTGTCAGGGTGTGTGGAAAATGGGACCCAATTGCAGTTTAAAAAAGGACTAACAAAGGTAAGGTAACAAAAAGCGAGCTTTATTAAAAAAAACGAAGGCAGGAAAAAACAAGAAACTAATACCCAGAAACAAAACCGGGGAGCACGACAGACAGGAACAAACTTACGACGGGAACAGGCAGGAGACACGGACAAGCATAGGTGACAGGGACATGAAATGACGATGAACAGACATGGAGCACAGGGGAAGACAAGACTAAGGGCCCTTCTCTCTTCGGTTAAATTGATTCCTTGCGTCCCTCACTTGCGTCGTTTCCCTGTGACTAGTCCCTCCCACCAGGGAAGCATGGAGAGACGCAAGGAAACCACGAGAAGCAGGGATATGAGTTTTAAGAGCAATGGGACGTCCTTTCCTCCGGAGCGTGCGACGTCCGTTTGTGATGACGCTGCACAGCTGATCGTCTGACAGCAGCTCTGTCCCCGTTATTTCCACACGCACCCCCGACTCTGTTAGCACACATTTACTGACACAAACATTTGTATCATCTGTTGTAGACCCAAATAGATAAAATAAAATAAGAACTCATTCTCAAAAAAGATAAACGCCATTCTTAAAATGTATAAACGAACAATTATTTCACACACAGTGACGTCACGAGCTACCCACAATGCAACACACGCCATATATATATATAAATACGCCATTTTCATGGAGGTGCAAATATCCTGGAAGTGCAAATATAAACAGCTAGCTAACGTAGCAAGACAGAGCGCATTAGGTTTTTTTTCTGAATTAACGACCAAAGAAATCGCTGCATGTCTTCGGATTACATCTCTGGAATTGAGGGGTGTGCTCTAGGTCGGTACCAGCGTAAACTAGAGCTGTGTGGGTTGTCGGATTGCCCTTACAGACTGCATCGATTTTGGCTGCATCTACGTCTAATTTCTGGAAACACTAGGTGAATACCCCACTTGTCACAATAATATTATCATGCCATTGCATATATGTGGTATTTTAGAGTTGACTAGATATTGATTAAGGCAATAGACTATGATATTCAGTACAGGAAGCTTAGCAACACCTAGACGGTGTACGGCTAAACCCTTGGCCTGCTTGCACCTCGCGTTAAAAACGGCGGATACCGGAAGTACGGTGTCGCCCCTCGGCCCAATACCCGTATGTGGTGTGTGTGAAACAATAGTTTGATTAATATTGATTAGAGTGCACAATAGAAATGAAATAATTGAGAGAAGAAAAAGAGATATATTATCTATCAAAACCCAGTTTAACATTCATTGGATTGCACACTTTGTTTGTTTGGATATGTAGCACATTAACATTTTAATAGCACTTAATGACTGACTGAATGGAAATGACAATAAATGAAAATGTAAAACGAAAAAAGCGATCATGAAAATGTTTCCAAAAAATGAATAAAATGATTTTTGACCACTTTGTTGTTCAGATATATCACATATTTGTAACTAAATGATACATTAATTGAAACAAAAAATGGTATATACTGAGGAGTGACTCCCGTGAGGTTCATGTATTTTCTTCACTCCGCTGGGAAACTGCTCTCATTTCAAGAAGCATGAGATCAGTGCATGCGCTGCATCGTCCAATCAGTGAGCGATACACAGTAAGGGGGCGGCGCGAGTGTCTGAGGATTTCATCAGAGGATGATCTGGTGGTTCCTCGGTTATCGCTCCTCCATTATCGCTCCCTCGATCCTCGGGTCCTCCGGCAAAAATAAGGCCATTGGGACGCTACTCAAGATGGCGCAGACAAATCAACTTCCGGTGAGACCGAGACCAAGGAGCGAGGAAATGAAAAATAAGAGAAGTTAAACGCAACCTCAATATACAAGCAGGGTAATCACAGGACAAGACACAGCTGGCAGGGGAGGCAGAAACACAAGGGCAACAGGTGAACACAATGAGGCACAATCAGACACAGGAGGGAAACTAACGACAGGAAGTCAAACACAGGAAGTAGGATCAGACAGACACAAGGATGAAAACATGTCAACAAAAAGGTGAAAAATGAAAACAAAAATCCAAAACCATGACACTATCTGCCAAAACAAACAACGTTTGTGTCAATCACTTGCACGTCACTTCTGGTATGATGGGCATTCCCTTTCCGGTTTGATTCACTAGTTTGTTTAAAGTGTTTCGGCAAATGTTAAAGTGTTTCAACACTTGTAAATTTGTCTCTAGCTTTGTAAAAGTGTGTCGCATCTTGTTAATTTGTTTTCGTTAATGTTAAATAGTTTTTTCTTTGGTAAAAGTGTTTTGCTAATGTAATTTTGTTTTATAAAATGTCAATTTGTCTCAAGCTTTGTTAAAGTGTTTCACACTTTGTAATTGTCGATTGCACTTCTCAGTCACCATCATTTTTTGACAATATGTCAGAAATAATTGTAACTGGAAGATCGCCAGTTGGAATCCCTTGATTGATTTTCCCCGGGAAATAAACAATACACAGAAACGCAAAATTACACACACTCGCGAGCTTCCCCCAGACCAGTAATCCAAACGAAAATATCTTCCCTCCGTAGTATTTTGATCATTTGCTCCGCTAATAATCAATCAGATCAATGGATTCCAGAGAAGAGGACACTTTAAAGGCCTTTTTCTCAAAATGATGACTCGGTGACAGTCATTATATAATGTGACATATTTTTGCTTAATATTTGGAGCACAAAAACAATCCTGATATCATTAGAAAGCTAGGAATCTCCTCTTT